TAAACTTAAATTTACATCCTGTGCTGCCTTTTAGTAAGATATGAAATGGGTCAAGACCAGCTGCAGCCTAAGCGCAAGCATAAGACGGCGTGACCGTGTAGCCACATCAAAACACCATGCTCTCCATGTCGTTCGCGGGTAAACGAGCTGTGACCCGTTTTTCGGCTGATTGTACCGAGGCACAGCTAGGTGAATTCCTTGTTCAAGGGTACTAAGTGATAATTCACCCACTCGTGTGATTTGAACCCTGCACACTAAGTGCAAAACAAAGTATTAACCCATTGAGCCACTGTCCCCATGTTAAATTTGTTTGGTTAGTTCTCCTGATGTTTAGCTAAAGTTTCGATAGATACTTGTGCGTGAAGGATCTTTTACATTGTAGAGCGGAAGCCGAATGGCCCAATCGGAAAACGCAAATCTGCAAGTGGAAATTCGCACGTTGCGGCTTAATTATGACGTCATCAAGGAGGACAACGTTGAGCTGCAGAAACAGTGCAATCAGTGGGAAACGAGCAATTCGCTCCTTCGCAAAAGTTACGAGGAAATGCAAAGGCAGCACCACTCGTTACTGAAGGATCACGAACAACTGCAGAACCTGCATGAGATGCTGAACGTCGATTTCGAGAAGTTATCATCAGAAACAGCTCTGTTGAAGGCGGAGTTGCGTAGCACGAGACATGAGTGCAGTTCGAGGTTCCAGAAGCTGAGGAACGAGGAGCACAGCGCCTCGGATATGGCCAAGCGTTGGGAGCAGGGCCAAAACGACAAGGCGAGGGACATGAAGATGTTTGCAGTTTTGCAGAACGAGCACAGTTCGCTGCGCAAAGCGCACGACAACATGAAACTGTTGTACGAGATGACCACCCGCGAACTGGAGAAATTGCGTGCAGAGTACCGTGCCCTCAAGTCTGATTTTAACTTGGCCAACCTGAAGGTAACACAGGTCCGCGGCGAGCTGAGCGACTGTCAGGATTGCGTTCGACAGCGCGAATTAGAATTGACCAAGTTCGAGCACAGATGTGAGGTACTGACCAGAGAAAATTGATTGATGCAACTCGTTTCGTCTTATTGTTCCAATTCCGTCAACACCGTCATTTTTCAGATGCTGGTGCAGGTAAACCGTACGCTAGAAGACGAAGGCAAGACGCTGCTGAAGCAAATCGACACGCTGATCGCTCAAAATCAAGACTTGCTCAACCAGTCGCTGGCCGACAAGGACCAGTATCACGCGGAGGAACGACAGCTACAGTAATGTTGATTTGTGTTTGATCCTAGTAATGTTAAGCGTTTTATTTATTTACTATGTAGGGAACGTCTGAACGACATGAAGCGACACAAGGAGAAACTGGAAGAAAAAATCATGGAGCACTATAAAGCTATGGATTCGCCGACCAAGAAGAAGGATAAATCTACGCTGGTCAAGCGAGTAAAGGCGTTTATACCTCGGGTACGTATCCAAACGCCTTTTCCTTTTACTCGTTGTACGAATGCGATGTTAACTGTCATTGTTTGGCTGAGAAGATTCTTTAACGCAGTAAAGCCTCGTTAAATCTAAATTCAAGAACGGAAGAAATTCATCATCAAGTGCGCATAATCAACGAGGGCCCGTAGGCCTGATCAGAAGAATGGCCTCGAGTCACCATGAGTCAGGGACAGAAACCCTAGTGCTGCAGTTTCAGTTCATATTTCCTCCTTGTGGCTATACTTTAATACTCTGTCTCCTTCGAGTTAGAGAAGCATAGAGAACGTTTGCAGTTACGTTACTCCTATATAAGCAGGGACCTGCATGTGAATCTGGGGCCGTCGTTGGTTTCCACGAAGGACAACCCGTTTGTTAACACAAACAAGACATCGTAACACCTTGCCAACGTTTAATGCACATTTATTCATATGACACCATTTTAATCTTTAGATAGTCTTCAATTCCAGTTATATATCCACTTCTTCCATCTGGAACGCAATTTTGATTTAAAAGATTTATTAACGCATAAATCAAATGGGTGAATGTTTTTCAATCCACCCGGAATAATTGCCAATTTTGAAAACTTATCTACTAACCTTTAACTTATTGCAAACCTCATCAGTAATATCCGCATGGCATGAGTCCATTATTACATTTTCTTGAGTATTAAATATTACCACCCCCTTTGCGGTATCTACTAGATCTACTAGATGCTCGTTATCTATACATTTTGACGTGCATAAAAGAGTACAAGTTGCGCGTTATCTATGAGAAAATACAGCGTACATATTTGGGCCTTATTGCGTACCTTTAGGCGGGCAGTAGTGCTGTCTTCTTCCAGTCGTACTCGATAGAGCATCAGGGTGAGTTTAAGAAGTTGTTCAATAATATGCGATTGAATGATAAAATGATAATATATTGTGAATGATAAGCATGTGAATTATGTATTCCTGTAGCTATGTACGTGTAATTATACTGCATAAATATGGATAGTAAATGTTATATGAACCTGTGTAATTAACTTTATCACTTTATATGTTGTATAGTTAGCATGGGCATTTATCTGCTTGCTCTTGACCGCTATTAAACTTGTGTTTTAGACCTCTTCAAGCAAGTCGCGCTCAAAGTCACACGACAGCTCGTCACCTGAAGACAGTGCATTATCAGCCGAAGAAGTGAATGGCTTTCGTGACGACAGTTCGCACGGTAAATATGCTACTTTGCCTCTTTCGTCCGTTAGCCGTAACAAGGTGTTACCCTTGCTTAAAGTCTCTTCCACCAACGACCTGTCCAACGAGACTAGACGTAGCGCGGTGGGTGATCACACGCATTTACCTATACCGCTGCTCGGTCTGTCATCCGACGGCCTACCCCCCATTATGTTGTCTTGTGCCCCCAGTCATAGCGGAAGACGTAGTAGGTCGATTTTCAATCTGTTCTCTATGTTGTCTGGCCGCAAGTCCCGGAACGCTCTCGAGGAGCCTAGGGACAATGGCAGCTTCGGCTTCCTCATCAGACGCTCACTCTCACACTTGTCTTTGAAAAAAACTCGACCGAATGTTCCCGGAAGCATCGTTGAAATGCCGTTGTTTCGTGCAGCGGGCTCCGCAATGCCGACGACTTCCGAAGCAGGTGTTAGTGATCGCTCACAAACCGTTAAGCCTCCTCCGAGACGACGAGGCCGCGGTGCTTCCGTTCCTGTTGCTGACTGAACTTCACACATTACTTTACAGTTGACTGTCACGGTGTGTTCGTTCAGTGCTCGACTTCGTGTTTGGTGTTGGTGAATGATAGCATATTCTTATAAAATTTAATTTGTTTTATTCGTTTTGTCCGTTTTATTTATTTTTGTTTATTAAACTACGTCATTTGTGGTGTCTACCTTTTTTTCCTTTTGCTGTATTGTATTTTCCGTTGTTTCATCTGCAGAACATTTGTTTGGGCTTTTTGTTTTTTTTTGTTTTGTTTTCAGTGTGCTCTATTTGAGCGAGAACAACAACAGTAAACGTAAGTCATTTTCGTGACTGTTTCTCTGTTTTGTTTCATGTTGAGTAGCTTCGAGTAGGAACTCTTCATTTCCCCTCTTTCGCAATTCTAAATGACTTCAAAGAATAGTGAAAATTTAGCACTTTATTTGTAAAGTTATTTTATAATAATAAAATATAATTCCGTTCGAAAAGAAATTCTGTTACCGTGAAGCACGCTGTTCACAACCTACGCCTATTGATAACAAGCATATGAATATCTTTAGACCGTGAGAGCAACACTGAGAACCGAGTTACACGAATCCGTCTTCATTTTTATGCGTTGAGTGCAACCTGTGCAAAAGACGAATTATGTTTTAAAAATTTTTCACCTAGTTGTAATCTAATCCTTAGTTATTTAGTTTCTACGTTCTAACCTCATTTTAATTTTTTGATTTTGACTTTCTCTTTCATCTTCTTCATTTTTCATCTTTTTCCTTTTTCATTTCCTATGCCTTTCATCTTCTTTCGCCTTTTGCCATTGCTGATCTTTGTTATCTTGACTGCGATATCTTTTATGTACATTACTAATTTGTTCTGAGAAAGCCTGCCATGGTGGGTTTCGAAAGCCTCACTTATTAAATATTTTTCCATTGCTTCTTACTGTCTATTTCTTCATCTAAGATGCTATTCCTGTTCGTCCATTGACTCACTGTTCAAGACATAAAGTAATCAGGAAAAATTTTTCCCCTTTTTTGCGATGCGTTTACACACCATGTACCGCTATCATCATTACGGTAGAAAGTTCGAATGAAGACTGCATAGGACTGCGCGATATGACGAGAATGCAGGAGCATTTTAGTGACAAGATCGTTTATTTAGTCAGTTCTTGCAAACAATTTGGTCGATGACTCTTGACCGATGATGCTGTCATTGAAAATGAATTAACTTGTGCATTCGTTGTACAGTAATCTGTTATTCTTTTTTAGAATGAAAGGAAAGAAAAGTTTGTGAGTTAGAATGTCTGTCTATTTTCACTCTCTTATGATTGAGCGATTTTAACATCCTACTTTTCGTGTAGTTTGTGACGTGGTGCTGATCTCAGTTTCTGTTTCATCAGCCAGGAGTGTTCATTGATAATTTTTTAAGAAAGAGTCAACAGCCATATAACAAGCGTAGCATGTAGTCTTCTGTTTTCTTCCCACTGATTGATATTAATTTATCAACCTTGGAAGGAAGAAGAGCAACTGTCCCTGACCGTTCCTTGAACTCGGGACCTGTCGTTTCTGAGTTCGAACCTCTACATACTGAGCAACGCCGGTCTGAATCAATGCATGTTAAATTCGCTGCTTA